TGCAGTATTTGTTTAGGGGTGATGCCAAAACAGTTTTAAATGATGTCAGTCCAAACACCATTAAAATGTCAACCTATACCTATATCATCTCACATTCACTGCCTGAGGGTCAGTTCATCAAACACAGGGAGTATTCAGGTATCAATATTGTATTTTAACCAGTTATGGAAAGATTTAGAGATATCACTGCATAGATAGTAGTGATGGGTCATGATTGGGTAACCAACAGGGTGGACACCCTTGCCTGTTGCAAAACAGCGCTTCCTCCTTGTGGAGGAAACAAAACCAACCGAAGCAGCGAGCGATCTCTTTCGTCCTGCTATACTGGAATAGACGTGGCCTCAGCTGTCTCTCTCCGGCTGTAGCAGACTAGCCTAGCTGCGCTGTAACTGCTCTGCGAAAGAGATGTCAGCAGGACGGCGTGTCTGTGTACTGGCTGAACAGTAAGTAACCATAACATAGCTAACGCTAGTTCCATAAGCACCCTGGCACTGTTCTTATTCTTAACAAAAAGAATCCCATGAAAAAACCTAAACCAACCATGTGTTGTTCCTTCTCTCAGTACTTTCCCTTACCTGTCTGTGGCTCTCAGCCCCAAGCCAATGGGCTCACAAAGGTATATCTTCATGTTTTTATCAAGACTAGATCAAAACCCAGTAACCTACATGGCTGGACAGTGTATGGTCAATGTGCTCCTGAGGACGTAATTGAGGACACTTTACCAACCAACACTGTAACTTTATCTCCCAGTAAGGAACAGACTTTTGTGTTTATAGCTGTGGTCCAGACAAAAAAGGTTCAGGTTCCTAAAACAATTTTACTAAAACAGGAGTAAATAGTGAACTTGTTGGGGACTATTTTCAGCCTTGGAATAATACACATTTGGCCCTCCTTTAAGTCTTAACAGCAGCAGGAAAGTTTGTGTTGAACTGACTCATAATGAGCTTCAGTGGCTGTGTTTCATAATAATGTAAGACCATGTAAGTTTCGCTGTCAATGCTCATGTTACCTATTGTTGGTGTGACAGTGGACATATTTTTGTGGGGTATTTATGATTGAGTATTTGAAATAAGAAACGAGGAAATGTTTATTTTTAATTTAGTAACAAAAACCCTTTAATTAATGAACAAGTAAAAACATCAAATCCTACTAAATCAATCATAAATAACAGCAGAATTGCAGGATATATCTGTTTCAATCTTGTTTTAGATGGGGAATCACGTATCAAGATAGTTATTGAATCTTTGGGTGAGATGAATGCATTCCCATAATTTACACAACTACCATCCTCCATCATTTTGGGCTTGCATCTAGTTATTAAAGGGTGCCTGTCTTTCATCTGTATTAGCATAATATATATTACAACAAAAAACTGACTTTGAGGATTCCTCAAAGCCTTAACATACACTCAAGGACTGTTTGGTTAAAATATTTCACAATGGGGTGCCCCGGTAGCTCACCAGGTAGCATATGCATCATGCTGAGTCCGGGTTCTAATCTGCCCTGGGCCCTTTACTGCATCCCCCCTCTCTTCCCTGCCTCTCTTGTATCTCTCTAATGTGACTATCAAATAAAAGCAGAAAATGGAATGAACTAAGTAAGCACATTCAAAGCTCTGCTACTACTCTGATTTACAGTATAAGCACACTGCCTGGACCTCTTGCTCATTCCTGTAACACAACATGACCGTCATACTGATGAGCACTGGTCTGTGAAATCAATAGAAGTTGGCGTACAATGCATCAACTAAGCTACATGTTTGGGTTTCTTCTCATACTCACGATGGGTTTATTTCCACACAGGAGAAATGCTTTTAGCCTCAAATCGTATCTGAGTAAGTGCCTTTCAAGGCCCATTAGGGGTGGAGGTCAGTTTTGACAGAACCTTGTTTAGAAGCTCTTTAGAGGGACGGGGTCTGTAACTATCCACTAACCAACCACCTAATCCAAAAACAGACAGCTTTACTCTGTCTCCAGAGGAGGTAGTGGGGAGATGAGGATTAAATAGAGGTAAACCAATTAAGACAAGGCTGATGGACTAAAAAACAGGGATTTAAGGGAAAAAAGAGGTTTAAGGTCAGGACAGAGTAAGTGTTGTCCTGTTGTGAGATGCAACATGAAGAAGGAAGGTTTACATTTAATTCTGTACAGTAAATCTTGCTTGAATTAGATAATCCATCAGTGAACATGTTTTAAGAGTAGGGTGCGATTTTTTTTACTGTTGTTGAATTACTTAAATATTTCAGAAATCTATTTTTGTACGTCCGCACACACTGCACAACTTAACTGAACTTCAGCTTAGTTTGATTAGCAAAAAAATAACTTGGTCCATAGTTGGTTTCATTTCTAAAGGCATGCAGTAGCAGAGCATTGTGGATAACGATGTATTTCCTTGATAGTAGGCTGTATATCTACGGTGTTCAGTCATATATCGGCAACTGTTGTAAGGAAGCTGAGAAAAGGTCAAAACTGAGGCGCCATCCACACTACGTTTTCGTTTTAAAACGGAGAACTTTTGCTACGTTTGCACCTCCCGTCCAGACTAAAACGGCGAAAACGAAGACCTAAAACGCTGCTGACCCCGTTTTTCCTTTCAAAACTTCGGAGAGCGTTTTAGTGAAGACCTTTAACGCTGTGCCACAACCACTTTTCTTTCGAGGTAACTACGGTAACGTTAACGGTCTGTTTCTGTCATCTGTGTTTATCTCATCTGTGAGAAGGCGATTAAGCTAGCCGCACCAAAATTTGGAGAGCACATGTATTTCAAGCCTTTTTGGTAAGTGAAACGGCCCAGAGCAAGCTGACAGGCATGTTAGCGACTTTATCCTGTCAGTTTCTCTCTTTACAAAGACAAGTGTTTCAGTATAAGAGTCCTACCTGAAGAGAGGCTGTCTGAAGTCTTCATGTTACGCCATACGAGAACCACATAAAACATTATTTATCAAACATTGTCGAACTTGATGAATTTAGCGCGAGGATACACATGTGACAATGTCCGGTTTTCAAACTAAGGTGTCTATACAGTATGGAAATAAGATTAATTGGATTATATTCACAGTGTCCATTAAAAGTTAACAAAAACATAAAAACATGCCCCCAGACCCACTGAGAGGGTCCGAGGCCCACCCAACATGGTCTCTTAAAATCCTGTGGGAAACACTGGGTCTCGAAAGTCATGCATAGTAGAAACACGTTGCTGCTGACAGAGGTTTTTACTTGGTATTTTTCTTTAAATATTTTGTACTGTGCAAGTAACACTTATAGCCTACACTTGTACTGTGTATGACACCATAATTACTTTGCGACGACTCCCAGTCTGTTTTCCGCCGCCACAGCATTTTAACTCCCATGTTACATTCAGTAACAGTCCCAGCTCGTTATTGGTCCATGACCCATTGGTCTGGTGTGGTTCTTCGTCTGTAGTACTTCATACTTTCACCAGATTTTCTGTAACTACGGAATAGACCGGAATAGACCATCTGCTTCATGTTTACACAGGCACACGCATGCCCAGTGTACGTGAACAGCCACTTGATGTGCATTTCAGACGTTTTAGTATAGAAGGAGATCAGTTCTGATACACAGCTGAAACGCTGGTGTGGACGGAGATCATATTTGTTTTAAAACTCAGTTTCTAAACTAAAACGGAGTAGATGGGGCCTGTATGAAAGGGAGCACCTACACACACACACACACACACACACACACTACCAGACATGTGAGGACCTCATTGGATACAGTCTTTTTCTCACCCCTTATCAAACATTAGCTGTGGGGGTGACACTAATGATTATTTGCATTACTGATTAGACTGTTAACATCCATTAATATCCTTAGATAATTTATGGATTGTTTGCTCTATATAATGTTAGAAAATAGTGAAAATATGCCCATCACAAGTTCTTAAGTCCAAGGAGATGTCCTAAAATTAGTTATAAATTAAATTCAGAGTTGCAACAAATGCAAAGTGGATTAATTAGTTTGTTAGTTAAGGACAGAAAATCAATTAGCAGTTCTTCAACTGCAAAGATGTACTGTATTTCTCTGCCCTTTTGAGGACATGACCTTGGACTCACTGTTAACTGCAGCCCTAACTAAATGAATTATTACTCCTGACACTTAAAACTCATTGAGGAAAACATATCCACAATATATAGGTAAACTCAAGACTGTTTCTGATAATGACAGGAGCAGAGGAGATAAACAGCAACACACACACACAAGTTGGCCAGTCTCCTGCTGGTCTGTCCTGCATGTAAAAACCTGCCTCACCCATCACACTGCTGTTATTGTCTGGTTTAAAGACTCAAAACTAAGCATGTCCTGCTTTGGGACTCTGCTGAATTTGGTCCTGCGGTCTAACCACTGAATTTCTTTAGATGTTTACAGCAGTCTTATTAAACCTTTAATAACTCTCGAATAACAATTTATGACACATGACAAAAACAAAACAAAAAAAAAAAAAAAAAAACACCAAGCACATGCCATATGTATAAATATGCTGTAACGCACTGTACGTGCATGTTGGTAGGTTAATTGGTGCGGTTCATGCGTCAATTACGCAGTAATTAATTGCACCTTTAAATATTTTACGACGATACTAGACTGAAAAAAACACAACCAAAAATAAGGGCTGAGATGCTGAAAAAGTGTGAAATTTGTGGAAAGCCAATTGAACAAGCTTAAGCGCATGTTGTTCCACTATATGTAAAATAGCTTTCAAAGTCCCTATGAAAAGCGAGGAGCAACCATTAAGATAACATAATTAACTACATAAACGCACACCCGACCAAAATCGACACTTATATTCTAGTGAACTACAAAACAAAACACTTGGAGATGTCATAAATATTTGGTTGGAGCATCCGAGCAGAGCGCGCACACACGTTGTATTCTCATTCAAACTCGTATCAACGGACTATTTCTACTTCACTAAACTTGTCTGTTTATAAAAAAAACACTCACACACACACAAAGGAGAGCATTTAATTAAAAACTCACCGCTCCAGTTGAGGAGGCACATATGAAGGAACAGCTGTAGAAATGTTCTGTGTAGGAAAGCCATCTTCTTGAGAGTGCTTGTCGTATCCAGTCCCGAAATAATCTGAACTGAAGTGGCGTGTCGACGAGAAGTTAGCCAGGAGGAGACTGAGGAGAGGAGGGGAGGGTGCTCAATTAATGTCTGGCGGGGTCCTCCCACTGTGGGGCTTTATAGAATGTGTGGAAGAAGAAGTAGATTATCGGTGTTTTTTTACTGCTACAAACTATGTCTCCCAATTCACACAGAAATGTCTCTTCTTGGTGGAAAGTCCTCCGGGTCACGACAAGAAGCTTACCATATCAGCAGTGCACACCTTTTTAGTCTAAGTCACATGGCCTGTTGGCTGAATTCGGCTTAATAACTGGGACACTTTATTTGCATAGTGGTTGAAGGTAATAAATCCATTTACACATGGGCCTGAAATTTAATTTTGGAAAGTAGCCTACTGGAAGTTGAGTGCATTTTGCTGTGGTAGAATAGTATCTTAGTATTTACTCAAATAGGCTAATGCATGTAAAGCAGTTGTTTAGCATATTGGTTAATACTACTCTCATATCTACAGCCAGCAGGTGATTAGCATACCTTAACATTAAGACTGGAAACAGGGGAAACAGCTAGCTTGGCTCTGTCCAAAGGTAAAATAACGCCTTCCAGCACATCCAGTGTTCACTGACAAGTTGTTCACTTTTATGTTCTCACTTTTGTGGAATAACTTGACTGTGATTGCAGAGACAGCAAGTAACCTAAGTGTTACTCATTGCTGTGATAGCAACTCATTATTTAAAGAAGAAAGGTCCAAGGCACTCGTCTGGCAAAAAGTTAAAGGGTTACTCACTTAAGTATTTTTTTAAACCTGGACCCTATTTAGCCATTTTTTGTGCGTAAGTGAGAGAATAAAATTTTTTTAAATTGGTCCAAAGCAAGTGAAACAAGGTTTATCTCTGTAGGGATCTTTTCCATAATGTTGTCAAACACTTAATAATCTTAGTCTGTCAGTGGCAAAACCAGCACTTTAGTGGACCTCCACCTGTCAGATTCAGAAGCCTGTGAGAAGTGATTCAGTTCAACACAGGTGAGTTTGCTACTCCTCAAGTTCCACCAATCATGAACAAGTTGTAGAGATGTCACTCAGCCCACTCAACCTTGTTTGCATGAGTTGTCTGCACCTTTGATTTGTTTATGATAGAAATCACTGTTAACCAGTGATAACTAGAGGTTATTAGCTACTGCAGCTCATGGTATTTACATGTTGCACTGAACCTACTTATAAGTTTATGCTGCATTTTCTGTCAGCGTTAACTTAACTCAACCCAACCTCAACTATATAATTATATTTTTGTGATAATAATGAAGTTATTTATTCCCAATGTTCAAATGGTTTATAAAATAAAAGATATCTACTGAATATTTGACTTATTTACTGACTTGATTACTTTTAGAGCTCCACATGGGTGGTTAGGCACCTGGTTAGTGAGCTACTACAGCCTTATGTCACCAGTTGGTCTCTAGTCTTCTGACCAAGTTGCTGTACCTCACTTTAGGCTTCAAACTAAAGGAGACTTACTTTGAAGTTGTGGAGCTCTCTCCCTTTGGACTTAAGATATGTGGACATTGCGGACATGTCAAAAAAAGCAGCTTAAGACTCATTTGTAAACTTGACTTATTCATTTATTTACACTGAACAAAATTATAAACACAACCCTTTTGTTTTGTCCCCATTCACCATGAGCTGATCCCAAAGATCTAAGACTTTCTCTATGAACACAAAAGGCCTATTTCTCTCAAATATTGTTCACAAATCTGTCAAATTCTGTGTTAGTGAGCACTTCTCCTTTGCCGAGATAATCCATCCACCTCACAGGTGTGGCATATCAACACGCTGATCGGACAGCTTTCAGTATGTGCACGCAGCTGATATGTTAACTTCATACTCGACACACAGTTTGAAAGCTAAAATCCTCGTGATTCGACCAATGGAAACCATTTCAAGATACAGTCACCGCAGCGGGTACAATCAGCGCTTCTGTCAGACCAACCAGTACAAGCAAAATTGCTGCGACTCACCTATGAAGCCTCATGTTAATCCACTAATCGATTATATTCCAACAAAAACGGCCTTGTTACGTTGTCAAGGCTCCAGACGATTCAATCCAGTAAAAACATTTAGTCCAAAACACATTATTCCATCAGTAAATCCCCAGGGACTGCTGCCACATCGTTTCATATTTGCCGGCAGACGTGGCTCGTTGGTCATTATAACCGTAATAACGCCGATTTCAATGTAAATAACTTCGATAGCTTGTATTCAAATTAGCCGCTAAACTCTGACCTTTCGAGTGACCCCAAATCCGAGCCAATAGGAGCTCACATATCCCTTTCACAACCTTCAATAGCCAACGAGAGCCCGCGCTGTGAGGAAGGGCCAGCCCCTTTTTTATTTCGTAGGTAGGCCGAGCCAATTGCAAGCAATTGTGCCGATGAGTGGCACTTCATGTAGCCAATAAAATTCTGAAAATAACGATATCCAGCTTTAAGTAGGAAGTTCTGATACGAAGCGATGCAGCAGCCGCCTGCCGCCAAGGGGTGGTGCTGTTTTAGAGAAAATACGCTAAGACATAGGCTGTGTCCGAAATCACTCAAAGACCTGTGGTCCTACAGTGTTTTCCAGCTAATAAGTCCCAGCTATATTTGTCTGCATGCATTTGTTGGCAAACATTTTCAAGCGGAAATGAAAAATATATTAGTTGTAGTGTGTTTAAACTTACATTAAACAATTCCAGTAGCACTTACAATCATTTTGACTATTGGGTTAGATACTCCAGAGTGTTATCTTTCAGAGAAGCCCAAAACCATGCAGATATTCCAAATGGTTCAAGAACTACATTCAATTTTCTTCGGATATGCCTTGAATAGGCGTTTTGCATGAATTTTACAGGAATGTTAAGAGATTTTAATGTTACAACTGAGTATATAAACCACAAACTACCTATAGTATAGTAGGTCATCTTAGAAATAAGGTATTCGCCAATGAAGACCATAGAAACCACTTTTGAGCATCTAGCAATAATAAGCCACTTAACGACCATTTCAATGTTAGTTTTTGTACGTCCAGCTGCTTCTAGCCCACACATTTTCTCCAGGAAATATATGGCCTAATTAATATTCTTCTTGTGAGGACAAAGTTAGCATATTTCTTCAACACATGAATAAATTATGAATAAAATAGACTAAAATAAACAGCCATGATTCACACAACCGGGGGCGTAGCAAAAGAATCTGGCCCATGTACATAGGCATTCTCTATGGGGCCCTATTGCATCCATGACTATTCATTCAAGTATCTTTGTATACCCAACCCCCTTTGTCCACCTAGTTCTACACCCCTGCAGAAAACACAGTATTTAGAGTGAGGATTGAGCAAAGGTTAGAAACACTGGACTTTTTCCAGGAAAGTGAGCTTATGTTTTCATCACTGACTGTGGATTCACCTTGACTAACAGCTGCAGCAAAAAAGCTTCCTTGTGTTAGTCACCCAGCTATCCAGCCCCTGTCATACATGAGCCCACAACTGTAGGTAACAGGTATTAGACATGGAGACAAAAGTATTCAGTATATCACAACATAATGGCCAAAATGAGAGAAGAGTAAAAATAAGCACATAGCTTCATTAATTCTCATTCACTAATTAAGACGATAGACGTGAAATGCTGCTTAGAAAAGCACCTATATGAACAAGTCAATCAGCTTTTGTCGTTTCAAAATAAACCCAATTTGACCTTCATGCTGAAAAGAGGTCAGCATGAGCTGCACACATGTGTAAAAGTCTATCTCACATCTCATGTCAGGGAATATTTGGTTTGGATTTGAGACAATCAAGAAAGAAATCCATCTTTCACATGAAATCTATCTACCTCTTACTCATGAGACAGGATTTTAACCAGGCTTCTCCTGAAACAGTTTTTTTCCAACTGTCAGCCCACACATTCTCCCCTTTGTTAATACCAGCAGCTCACTATCCACTGGCTATTTCCAACTCAGCCTGAACATACCCTAGTTACCCAACTTCTAAAGAATCTGATGAACAAAACTGTAATGAAAATAATCATTAATGATATGTTTTGATAGATCTGAAAACACAGTTCTCATTTGTATTGTGAGAAGAACAAAACATTTCCAAAATGATGAGATATGCCTTCTCAGAGAGTTAGATGTTGTGTAGCACTAATACAGTAAGACATGTTTCTCTAATTGTCTCTCTGATCGCTCATTTTGATTTCAGAAACAGCCGATCATACAATACAGCTGTTGACATTAATCTGTATTGATGTTTATGCAGTCAGATCAGATCTGCAGCATAGGATAGTGTTTTGATCAGCGGTCGTATTGCACTGGTAACCTTGTTTGACAGGTGACATTAGTGATTCTCTGTTTTATACTCATTCAATTGTCTGATAACAGAACACAGGCTTCTTACCACTAAATGCCTGGAATACACACTTGTATTATTTACCAACGCTACTGTATATTGCCAACTGAAAGAGGAAAGCTTTAGAGGTGTCCCCATTGTTTTTGTGTTTAATTGTGGATGGAGAGCTTTTCCAAAGATGATCTGAAAATGCAAACGAAGACACAAGCAATGTGTAACTGTTGCCATTTTCAACATGATCCTTTGATCAGCCTTTGACAATGCTGACCTAAATATTTTACTAAGTCAGCTGCATAAAGTGGACAAGCCTTTTAGCAATTTCTGTTGTGTTTGAGACCATTTTATATTTTTATAGCTGGCCTCACTTGTGGTGTCCCTTTGCTAGGCCTATCTATTGTTTTAATCTGCATGCTTCCTCCATGTCTTTCGTTTCGTGAATACAGCATTATCATTAACTTTGTAACACATTTCCGCTGCTATGTAGTTGACAACTAGCTTTGCATACGTCTTCAACTAAATAAATATTATCTACTAATAAGGACACGCTCACAATCTAGATGCGATTTTTGATCCTGTGCTTTCAAAAATTAAGTACCTAAGACAGTTACGATCCTGTTTTCTCCATGTAAATTTCAAAGGGCTTGATCACCTATCCTCTCTATCTCCATACCCTGGTCAAACCAACAAGTTCACCAAATTAGACAATAAAATACGTTGCTTGTTATTGTCCTCCAGGAA